GCCCGAGCATCTTCCGGCGATAGCGACTCAGCGCTGTGTATTCACCATTGCGGCCAGTCCATAATTCTGGTGGCGTGTGTCGCCCATCGATGCGCCCGCAACGTTAAAGCACAATTCATCGACGGTCACTTCAACGTTTGCGTCCGTGTAAGTGCGAATCAATATCATAACTCTCTTCCCATACTGAGAGCCATATATACTGGCGCTCGATCCCAAGCCAATAGACCGTGTGTGCTCTGGATCGCTTTCTCTCGCCGCGAGTCTCGTTCACTTCGCAATTGCCGTCTGTCCGATCGCACCGACAGAAAAAGATGGTGGCGGCCAGAGCTTCGCAGGCGGAGGCGCTGATGGTGGAGCTCGCGGTGGAAGGCATGATGTGCATGAAGAACTGCGGCAACACAGTGCAGAACGCGCTGCGCAACGTGGACGGCGTGGCCGATGCCGTCGTCGACTTCGAGAAGCGCAGCGCACACATCGAGTGCGTCCCAGGCGCGAGTGTGACGGCTGACGACCTGGTGGACGCCGTCGAGTGCGTGGGCTTCGGTGCCGCAGTGAAAATGCAGGTCAACACGGCGACGGAGAGCAATACGCAGAACCCACTGACGCTCCAGCTGCTGGTGGAGGGAATGATGTGCCAGAAGAACTGCGGCACGACCGTCGAGAACGCGCTGCGAGGCGTGGATGGCGTGGCCGACGTCGTCGTTAGCTTCGAACAACGTAAAGCTACAATAACTCTACTTCGACCCGGTAGCGCGACGTTGGAGCAGCTGGTAGACATGGTGGAGTGTGTGGGCTTCGAGGCCAGCGCGTACGACGCCGCTAAGGCTGCGGTTATCAAACTACAAGCACAAAAGCAGAAGCAGCAGGAGACGGAGAACGTGGCCGTGGACATACCCGACGTGGCCAGCCACCCACGCGCCGTGTTCCATGTGGAAGGCATGAGCTGTGCCGCATGTGTGAAAGCCATCGAGGATTACGTGGGCAAGGCGGAGGGCGTATTGCACTGTCGCGTGGGCCTCATCAGCCAGAAGGCCGAGGTCTCGTTCGACCGTGATCTGGTCAAGAATGAGCAGACGTCACTCCATAAACTCATCCAGGACGCCGGCTACACGGCGACGTTCTCACACGTGGTGGAGCCCGGTGACGACGACTCGCTGGAGCTCAAGTTCACTGTCACGGGCATGAGTTGCGCTGCGTGTGTGGGCAAGATCGAGACGGCGGTGGGCAAGTTGCCTGGAGTGACGAAAGTGCTGGTCAATCTGCCGCTAAACAAGGCGCAGGTGCATCTGAAGCAGTTGGCCAAGACAGGTCCGCGTGACGTACTGGAGTGTATCAATGGCCTGGGCTACTCGGCCGAGGTGGCACTGCACACGACGGACCAGAACGCCCTGAGCAAGTCGGAGGTGGCAAAATGGCGTAAACTTTTGACCACGGCCATGATTTTCTCCTTGCCGGCCACACTCATCCACATGGTGCTCATGTACATTCCGCCGGTAGAAATGTTTCTAATGACCCCGGTGTTCAACGCCGTGACGTTGAAGCTGCTGCTGCTCTTTCTACTCTCGACACCAGTGCAATTTGGTGTTGGTCGACGGTTCTACGTGGCTGCGTGGAAAGGTCTGCAACACGGCGCTATGGGTATGGACTTCCTGGTTGTGGCCGGCACCAGCATGTCGTACACTTACAGTTTTGTGTCCTTCATGGGCTCGGCCCTGCACGAGAACTACAACGGCCACCACTTTTTCGAGTCTTCTGCGATGTTGCTGACGTTCGTGACGCTCGGTAAGTACATGGAGTCGATGGCCAAGGGTAAAACAGCGGACGCTCTGTCGGAGTTGGCGAAACTTCAGCCAAAGACAGCGTTGTTGATCCAAGAAGGCAAGCGGGACCGCGAAATTCCAATTGAGCTGGTTCAACGAGGTGATTTATTGCGTATTCGACCAGGAGCCAACATCCCAACAGACGGCGTGGTGAAGTCTGGCTCCAGCTCGACAGATGAGTCGATGCTGACGGGTGAGAGTATGCCGGTGGCCAAGAAAGAGGGTGACTATGTGTTTGGATCGACGGTTAACCAACAAGGCGCGTTGGTTATTGAGTCCAGCTGTATGGGTGGCGAGAGCTCGGCTTTGTCGCAGATCTGTGCGTTGATCGAAGATGCTCAGCTCCACAAGGCTCCGATCCAGGCATATGCTGACTGGTTGGCGTCGATTTTCGCTCCTTGTGTACTGGGCATGTCGGTGATGACGTTCATTGCGTGGATCACTTTGCTCTCTGTCGATCTCATCCCGACGGAGTGGAAAGTGGAGCTGGGTGTTGATGTGTTAGTCGACCATGCAGATGACTTGTATGTCGCGATCTTGTTTGCTATCACTGTAGTCGTCATCGCGTGTCCGTGTGCTTTGGGACTGGCTACACCCACCGCTGTTATGGTTGGGTGTGGTGTTGGCGCCAAGAAAGGGGTACTTATCAAGGGCGGTCGAGCGCTCGAGACAGCGCGGTATATTGATACCATCGTGTTCGACAAGACGGGGACACTTACTGTCGGACACCCGTCTGTACGTGACATTCTGGTTGCTGACCGTACGTATACGGCGCGTGAGCTTCTGTACTACGGCGCGTCGTTGGAGTGTGTGAGTGAACACGTTCTTGGCAAGGCTATCGTGGTGACAGCCACTGAGTATGAGAAGCTAGAGCTACAGGACCCGACAGAGGTGCATGTTACTCCTGGTCGAGGTATTGAAGGTGTAGTTGCTGCGAGTAACGTAACGAGTCGACGTACTGCTGTTCGTGTGCTCGTGGGCAACTCTGAGTACTGTGAGGAGAAGGGAATTGAGATTAGCGACAAGATGCGAGTTCAGATGCATGAAATGGAGCTGGAGGGCAAGACTGTGGTGGTTGTCTGTGTGGAGAACAAGCTGGTGGGTGTGATCGCCTTGGCTGATGCTCCTCGTCCGGAAGCTGCAGCTGTCGTGAAGCACTTGAAGTCCATGGGACTGGATGTGTGGCTGATCACTGGCGACAACCTCCGTACAGCCAGCGCCATCGCTCGTCAGATGAGCATCAACCACGTCAAGGCGGTGGCTCTACCAGGCGAGAAGGCTGCTCAGATCAAGGCGCTGCAGTCGCAGGTGAACCCTCTGACTTTGAAGCCGCGTATTGTGTGTATGGTTGGTGATGGTATCAACGACGCGCCAGCTCTGGCCCAGTCGGACATCGGCATGGCCATCGGTGCTGGCACACAGATCGCCAAGGCGGAGGCTGACATGGTGCTGGTAAAGAGCACGCTGACGGATGTGGTGGTGGCTCTGGATCTGGCTCGTGTGGTCTTCTCTCGTATCAAGTTGAACTTCTTCTTCTCGATCATCTACAACGCCGTGGGGATTCCTCTGGCTGCTGGCATGTTCTTCCCGCTGATCCACCGGATGATGCCGCCTGCGTGTGCTGGTCTAGCCATGGCCTTCTCATCGGTATCAGTAGTGACATCATCACTCTTGCTGAAGAAGTACAAGTCGCCTCGAATTCTACAACCAAAGGCTCAAAAAGTGCACTTCGAAGAAGATCTACAGGTTGTGGATCTCAAGAACCTTGTGCGTCTAAAAGTCAGCAACGTGCGCTACGCGCCGTTGACGAATGTGGACGAGCGGCTGGTGCGTCCTAAAGCTCCTGCTCAGTAAGAGACGAGACCGTAACAGGTGATGTTAGATGTGGTTGCTGTATTTTTTGAGAAGCGTAGGCTGAGTGAACGCCATTTAAGTGATAAGTGAACTTGCAAGACACAGAAGTTTGTCTATCCGATTTATTCCTCTTTAGCTCTACAGTTTGGTACTAGCTGAAGAATGTGGCCACTACGAAATAGTGGTGTGAACGAGTGATGGTGCATTAAAGTTGCAAGGATCACTACGTTCACTGAGAAGAAGACAAGGCCAGCTAGCCACAATGGGAAGAAAGTGTTGACGCCTTGCATCTCCAAATGATACGCCCAGTACAGCCAGTGAAGCTAGTTGCAGAAAAATGTCAATTTCAGTATCTTTCAGGAAAATTGTAGAATAGAAAGACAACTTACCTCGCCTCCTAGCCACGCAAAGATCATAGCAAGGCCCTTCCACTTCAGTTGCAAGTTTGTCAGTGGGAAGATGAGCGGCAGGAACGCGGTGTACCACAAGAAGTACTGTGTTGAAAAAAAAATGTTTTGAGTTTTCAGCTTCGAGAACTGGAGGATAACAAATGTTACGTACCTGCGCCGTGCACACCTTGTTGAAGATGACAAACACCATTGTTAACGCGAACAACGCGAAGGGAAGATCACGACCATATGCGAACGATATGGCAACGAGGGATGTGAGTTGAGGCAGAAACGCTAGGAGCCCAACACCGAAACCTGACGGAGTGTTGTATCGAAGATAGAGATCGTAGAAGTAGACCGAGAAGTTGTGACGGTTGTCCGTGCGCGTGAAGTGGTAAAGGTACGCCTCGTATAGAAACTGAAATCCGTAGCTATAGACAGTAACAAACCACAAAGTTATTAAGGGGAGAACGCGCAGCTCATGACATGTTGATAAAATTCTTACAGGTAATAGCAGCCGGCAGCAAGGAAGATGAAGAGACCTCCACTCACAAGGCCGAAGATGAGGCGATCTCTGTTGAGAAGTCCAGCAAGCTGCGCCCAAAAGCAAACTGACGAGCAGCAAGAAGAAGTCCACTTGGCATTTGCACTTCGAAAGTCTCCGTTGAGAAACTATTCGGCAAATTAGATAAACAAGGTATTGTCAGTCCTTAACAAAGTATTCTTTTTGTCACCCAGCATAAATCCTACCACGAGGAAAGCCAATGCGTAGATAATAGGGTAGATCTTGAAGTGGACAGCGGCGCCATATCTACATGAAACAGGAAGACGTCAGAGTGAGGAAGTACCGTCTGCAGCTATTACACGTACGCCACAACTGAGAGCACGAGCTGCTTCCGCATCATCAGTAACAGTGACAACATGACCAGCAACACCACGATGGAATCTGCATTGCCTCGCGTCGAGATATTCACCGAGAATGGGTGGAACAGCCACACACTATACACGTTTTATCAACACCACATATCAGCATCTGATAACTCCATTACTAATTATTATCCCTCCCTCACCAGCAATAATTGACAGCACCTGTAGCAAACACCAGCATACAGTAGTAAGATAAATGCACACTAACACTCTCGTTATATCCACTTTGCTTACTTGTATCGGGAAGCCCTCTCAACCTCAAAATCTGGTACAAAATGTATCCGACCAGCATATCGCAGCCCACAAACAGCAGCTTCCCGAACATTTCATGCACGTAGACGTTCGGCAGCAACAGAAAAGCTCTGCAATAACACAATTGCAGCACTGTCAGTCACTTAAAACAGTAGCCTCTTAGCTACAAATGGCCTCAAAAACTCACAGCACAGGCGTGTAGCGGTATGTCGTGCGCTCGAACGGCGAATGGCCGTCCGCCATCTCCCGCGCAGCGTCCGAGTACACGTCATAGTCCACATCCGTATACTTAACAGTCATATACAGATCCTGAAAGTGGCCATAAAGTAGCAGCGCAAGCCGCAGCACCAACGCGCCGCCGAAGAGCGCTAGTGTCCTTCGTGACATTGTCAGAATAAATTCTGATACATTTTTGCGAAGATAAAATCGTATTTAGTGAAAATGAGACAAAGGAGAAAGATCTGCGACGTGTGAGAAAGAAAACTTCAAGTATACTGGTTCAGTCATTGCTTTTTAGTGTGAGGTTGGCGAGGCCGTAGACGACCGGGTTGTAGCGGAATCGATTCTTAAGTCGCAGTTTGCCGCCTGTTGTTTCTTCAGGCCCGGAGGTAGGACTACCCGGAGCTGCGGCAGCGTCTGCTGTATTGGCAGCTACAGATAACGACGAGGTGCTTGGCGAGGGTGCAATGGTAGCTTCGCCGAACTTTTTCAGTGCCTTGCCCACGTAGTAACCTTTCGTCATGTTTTGCAGCAGCCCGTTGGCTAGTCGACGGTTGCCATTGAACGTCGTAGCCCACTGGTTGACGATCAATACATTCACTCCACACAGAGTGAGTAGCAGAGCACGAGCGTAGGGATCGCACTCGACTTCTTTTTCCCACGCGGGTTTATCACTGTCCACTTTACTCTGTCGACGCACACTGTTTGAGTTCTCAGCGTGATCCAGTAGTATTATCGCTTGACATGTCAGCGCAACGTTCATCCCAGTGACCTGCTGTAGAGGAAGATACGACCCAAGCACTCGATTCGGCCCGACGTACATTAGCCCACCCCCACGACGAGCAAGAAGAGCCTGCTGCCAGTCGGTCACACTAGGAATTTGTCCGTGATCAAGCGCATCCTTCCACCCTCCAGCCGCTTGTTTAACGACACTAGTCATTGTCTGCCCACTTGGATTCCCTGGGTCTTCTTGATGCGGATCTACGATGACACGGATGTCATTCGGTCTTAGAGGCTGTTTCTTCATCGCCATTAGTCGTTGATGAAGAATCTGAATAGAAAAGTCTCGAGCAATTGCATCAGCTGGCTGAAGTACGGGTAGAGCTTCCATCGGCAGACAAGCGAAGATCTGGTCCAGAAGAAGGACCAGAGTATTGCCTGTGAGGTTGCTCTTAAGCTCTGCGCTCATAGCCGAGTGGGTGAAGAGCGGGTTGAGCAACTCGACAGTATCTTTAATAACTGTCGTGAGCTCATCTTCAAGGATGTCTTCACCTTGATTCAATAGAGTCTCTTGAGACGTAAACTCATACATTTCATCTTGTCCATGAGCCTCTTCGTACGCCAACGTCTCCTTTGCACATTTCTCTCTCCACGTACGAATCCTCTTTTGTAGTTGCTCTAATAACGCTGCCTGAGTGTCTGTGAATTCCATGCGAGAAATCGCAACACGTCTCTCAGTACTGCCTAAAAACGCAGCATACAAGTAGCAGCGATCAGGAGAAAAGTGGAGACACAGCACGCGAATGGAACTCGGTAGCGCTGCCACAATGGCATCCACTCGAGTCCCGACACTCATCCGCTTGAAAGACTCGGATTGTTGAGATAAATACAGCTGAGAGAGCTGGAATGGCAGACTATGAGCCTCGGCACTGGTGTGTGTCTTCTGTAGCTTCTTCATCCTTCGTAAGTGCAGACGCTGGACATTCGACTCTGCCACACATTTCTCGAACAAGGCAGTTGCAACCTCGATAACCTCAGCACTTTGGTGCTTGAGTACATTCTTCGCACAGTCAAACGGGTGTCGACAGCCAAGAACGTGCACCAGTTCGTTCGAACACAGTCGCAACAGCTCTGCACACTGCTTTTCAAATGCGATAAGTTGGTACTTCTGAACTTCTGCAGCGTGGGCTGTGAGCATTTCCTCCAAACGAGCTTCGTCGACTCCTTCTTCTTCCTCTTCCGTTTCCAGCTCGCCTTGTACCGGACTTTGGCTTTCATTCTGGTTCGGAGCTGCATTTTGGTTCGCTGCTGCATCTGCGGCAACAGCGAGTTCAGCGCGTGCTCCGTGGCAGCAAACCCACGTTGCATGACGCGCATCAGATGACGTGTAGCGAGTCCATAGATGAGTTCTAAGGGCATCCGCTTTCTGTCGATCGTGTCCATGGAAAAGCGCAAGACGTTGACACTGAAGCCTCAGCACTTGAGCGATTGCATGCTGGATTTCCAAGACGGAGTTGTCAGAAAGCGTATCAATCGCAGAAGAGATCAATGTCATGGCACGTGGCAGCTCAAATGATCCGGTGTTATGCTGCTCCGACTCAGTTGCGTTAAGCCACTTTTCCACCACGTTGCGTTGTCTGTCTTCGTTGTATCGATACCACGTCATCTCTTTATCTTTGACAGCTGCAGGCGATAGCTCCGATGCCAGCAGAAGTCGAGCAACTTGTAGTTTAGTCAACGCAATCTCCATTGCCAAAGGTGACACTATTGCCTCTCGGTGTTTCTCTGTTTGACTCGGAGAAGAAAAAGCAAACTGTCTTTCGAAGCATATCTCCTGTAAAGTTAGCGCTTCTTCTAGCATAATCTTCGCATCTAAGCCGGCATTAGTGAGATGATGTGAATCGCCATAATTCCGCTGAAATGATTGCAAAGCCGCTGAAAATTTAATCAGAAGTTGACTGCGCTGATAATGGGCCTCAACGTGAGTTAGCATAAGCATGCTCTTGTCCAGAGTTCGCTTGCTCTCCTGTAAATAGTCCAACATACATGAGTCTTTACATGCAGCGGCCTTCTTCAGAAGTACCGTCGCTTGTTTGAATATCACTCGAGCCACTAGTTGAACCACCACAACATCAGGAGAATTAGCTAGACCAGTCTCTTTGTAGGGAATCGTCTGTACAGCTGGACACCGCATTCCAGCGACGATCGTCATCGCTGCGCTCTTCTCAGCACTTTTCAATAAATCGAGTGCTTCGTCAAGGTCGGGATTCAACTTACAGCATCGTAGTGTCCACTCCAAGAAGCGACAAACATCTAGTTGGGAAACCCCCAAAGCACTTTTTGCTCGAGCTAATGCCTGTTCGGTTTGACCTTCGATCTCCAAGACACAACTGGATAGAACATCACATTCACTTGCCAAGACTTTGGAGCTCTCAGTCGAGTACCGCAGTATCTCAAGAAGAGTTTTCGCTTGGCGGACAAACCCGAACTGCAAGAGTAGCTGGATTGACTTGACTGCTTTCTCCCGTGAGTCAAGCTGTGTGCTTTGAACCACGCGTCGTTTCCTCGATTCAAAGTCACCTTCAGGTAGCTCAGTCGACGTCTGAGATTCTTGCAGCTCCTTTATCAATGCATCTCCATTTAATTGGATAATATCTAAAGCGTTCTGCAGTGGCAAAGAAAAGTTGCTCAAATTCAACCGCTCCATGAGGTCAAATTGCGAGAGTTCCATCCAAATCTGTGCGATTAGAGTTCGTCGAGGAATATACGCGTGGAACAGCACACTATACAAGCAAAATGAGGGTAGCATGCTCGAGTATTGGAGTCCATCGTCACGAAGCATGGCGAGCAGATCTTCGAGACTTAGTAACGTAAGAACTGGTTGAGTGCTGTGGACCATACTCACTTGCAAAACTCTAGTCCACGGCATGTAAAATCGATTCGCAACGTTCGTGTCGTGGTCCACTAAGAAACTAATCCACTCACGTTCCGACACAGGCGTCGTATACTTAGGCATCTTGTCCTGTTTCCACTCGTCAAACTCAACTCTGCTAGTTGCGTCGGGGTTCTCTCGTTCAAATGTGACTTTAAATTCAGCCTCATTCGTCATCATGATGATGTGTTCCCAGGCTTTCATCACCTCGTACAAAGCCAATCGAACGTACTGTAACCTCTCGGTACAATTCTTGGATAACGTCGCCCGCATAACGAAAATACGAAGCTGCTTCTCAGCAAACCACAGAGGCGAGTAGCCCACGTTAATATTCAGACGTGACAGCTGGTCACTTGAAGTCGTCGCTTTCCGTGCTTGTGAGACTTTTAGCTGCTGTTTCTGACAATTTAGCAGCGTTGAGGTGGCACATTCCAGATAAGTGACAGCATTCTGAGTAGAGAATTGATTTGTGTAAAACCATTCAGCAATGTCAACGAGAACGAGCGTCTGTTCTTCCGGCTGTCCATCGAGTTCCGTGTAGGCGTTCGACAACATCCTGAGTTGTGCAGGTGGGTCTTTCCAAGAAGAAAGCGCTACTTTCTTGAGTATTTGAGCTTGGACAAGAGATTGTTCCAGTTGATCTGGGGTTTTCGAGCTGCCTCCACTCCTTGGCATGCTGATTGGCTTCCCAATGCGAGCACCTGCAATGGCCGATGTAGTTTGAATCTCCTTCATGATACCACGAGGCAATGGCGTTCGATGCGACGTTGGTCCAAAGGTTCTAAGTACGTACTCACAGATCTCATATTGGTCGCTCCATTTACTCGCTTTTCCACAAACTACCAGCGTTAGTAAAACCATTTCGCCATAAAAGTTGAGATCTGCGTCAGGAGACACGATCACTTGGTCGAGATAACGTAGCGTCTTACGCAAGCTGTCCGTAATATGATCAAGAAAATTGTCTTCAGCTTCCTCGCTATCGAGCTTTGTACTTGGGTTTATTGCAAAGATGGCCGCGTTCCAGATCACTTCGCAAGCTCGAACAACGATAGCAGATACGTTTCCGCGTAGTGCGTACTCGATTGATTGCACAAGATGCGATAGTGAAGCAAGAATTAACTTTTGAGCGGGTGTATCTCCCTGTCCTAACGCCAAAATTGCTCGTCCGTAAAGCAACTCAGCAAGAGCGAACCACTTCCACGTGCTTGGCGTAATAAGTAGCTGGATCACTTGCTTAGCCTTTTTGTCTTCTGGAGACGTTAGCACCTGTAAAGCCTCCTCTGCACAGTCGATTGCGAACTTAGCGTTCTTCAGTCGGAACGCGCCACAACCGAGTCGAACCCATATTTCCACATACAACTCCATCACTTGCTGTTCTTCTTCCAGTACTCGCCCCGTTCCGGTGCTCGTGAACGACGTGAATATCTCTGACGCACTCGTCTGCCACATTGTGATGGCTTTCTGATAAAACCCTTGAGCTTTTTCCAGAAGTTGCGATTGCTGTGCTGCTGAGAGTAACATTTGCGTAAATGTCACTTCCATCGCCTCCAAATAGGCAGCAACCTTCACTTGAATAGAAGTCGTGTTGGTAGGTGTAATATCCTTCGCATTCTGAGCAATTTGAACTCTTGACTTTAGCTCTGCAAATCGCTTAATGTGCAGTACACTCGTGCTTCCTCCACTGACAGGATTACGTTTCAGAAAGGTGTCTGCGATAGCTAGAGCCTTGTCAAGCTTGCCAGTCTTCTCATAAATACTCGAAAGTCCAAGTCCGATATTGGCAAGAAGATCGTTATCCACACTTGCAGCACCCGCTTCCAGAGCCGCGTAAACAGCCTCAAACGCGTGGATACACTCAGGTAAAATCCATTGTGGGTCAAAGCCATTCTCAGAAGTACTAGATTGAGTCACTTCTAGCAACATACGGAAGATGTGGAAATGGTAATTCCACAAGTAGATGCACGTATTCTCCAACACGAACGTCCACCCGATCTTTGTTGCTGCCTGCAGCGCTTTCGTAAGATGCTCCAGTATTTCCAATTTAATAGTGCGATGTTCCTTGTTAAACGTACTTTGTAGAATTGAAAGACTGAGATTTACATCTCCTTCAGCCTCTGCGCCTGGTTCAATGGGTGACGAGCTATCGTCGGTATTTGGACGATGTATCCCCAGTACAAACGCCTCCTTCCCCAGAGATATCAGCGCTATGAGATCAGCGTTTGACTTCCTTGCAGCTAGTCTTGACTCGATTCGGTTTCCCAGAGTTTCGGTCTGACGTTGGGCGTTATCAGCTTTCATCGCCTGATCCTTTAACTTGGTCGCTAGGATCTCCATCATCAGAAGCCGCATGTCAACCTCGAGGATCAGCAAACTCTTCTCATTAGATATGCTCTTCAAAGGCACAGCCTCCCCTGTTTCACTTGTAGCAAAGTACTTCGACAATGTCAGCTCCGTCGTCTGTTGAGCCAGTACACTATCATGGAGACAACTCCACGCGAGCGATGAAATCTCGCTCCAAAGTCTGACATCGTCAGCAGGCGAACTCGACTCGCTACTACTCTCAGTCATCATATCGATACTGCGAGCCAGAATTTCTCGCTGCTGTTGTAGGTCTTTGCCTTCCTTGACTTGTTCCAACATCGCTAGTACTTCCAACGACCTGGACGATGAGTTCTCAGCTGCTAGCTTCAAGTCCAATTTCTGCTTTATAGGGAGCAAATGAGTGTCAACCGGTCGAACTATCCAGTCTTCATGAGCACTGAGAACCTCGACTGTCAATGGGGACGTATCATTTGCACGAATAATCGTTCCATAGTCCAAAGAAAGAGCTTTACACACGTTCGTGTTCGCCTTAGCTAGAAAGTCAGACGCCACCTCCAGTTTCGCTATCTCCAAGTAAAGTCGCGCTCGAAAGCCAAGCAACAACGAGTCCAATTCTTCCATGATAGACGACGCCAGACTGAACACTCGACTCAAAATATGCCGCAAGTGAGGCTGCAGCAGTGGCAGCGACAGATTCCACGCGTAGATACACACCCGCTCGACCAACTGCGGATCCTGCTGACGTTTACTGGCCAATAACGCGCGCTCAAACGCTTTTATTCCTTCCACTCGTCGAGAGAGAAGCTTGGATTCACGTTGGCGAGAGCTCATCTTGTCTCCAGTGTGTGTAGCCGGCGTGACAATGAGTAAAATTGCACTCAGAACTTGACATAAAACTCGAGTTTTCGGTGGCATATTTTTGCCTTTGCGTTGTAGCACGACGTCGCATGCTGCTGCTATGGGTAAAGCATTGTTAAGTGCTGCATGGATTGCAGTTTCAGCCACCATTTCACCGTCAATGGCTTTCAGCGCACGCGGCTCTAGAGAGCTCACGAAAGTTTTAACATCTTCTGGCGGCGTTTCAGCGTTTAAACCGACGAAACCCGTGGCTTCCTGGAATATTTCAACACACGCGGCTTCCAACGTCCCCGCAACGTTCCCAGACTTGACACACTGGAGTTTGACTAGCAATGTTGATCTCTTATCACTCGAGGGCAGAAGTCGCTTGACGTTGGGCACGATCTTCTGACACTCTGGGTCTTTGAACGATCCCAAGTGGACTTGAAGACACAGTGCTTCTTCATACAAAGCCTTGAATGACACGTCAGCTTTGGTGAGTTCAGCGAGACGAGGACCGAGCTGCACGTCCACTACGTCGTTGATTGCCTTCGCAGCGTTTGATAGTTGATTGGCATCTAGCTGAGCGTAGACAAGAGCGAGTTGGAGTCGAAGCAGCCACGCCACATCCGACTCGGCGGTCAGCTTGAGCGCATCGATGATGTTCGTTAAAGACGGCACTAGAAACTGGAAGGTGGATTGCTTCATGAGCTGGCGCGCAATCTGCCAATACGTCACAGACGCATTGTACACGAGAAAGTCGTACACAGGACGCTTAAGTGTATCCATGGCGATTGGGATCACAGCGAGAACAAAGTGGATCGCATCAAGCACCTTCTTGAGCTTCGTCACACCCGTGTCAGCCTCTGCATCGTACGACTCGCAATGAGCTCGGACGAATTGAGCGCGACAGTAAAACTACCAAGACATCAAATATTATATTTTTATTTTTTCTTCTCAATTGCGAGCTTACCTGGTTTTTAAGTTGACATTCGCTGAAAAACCATTCGATACTCTTCAATGCCGTGTGGAAATCTCCTTGAAGAACTGCAGCCTCAGCTGTGAGTACCAGAAGCTCCGGTAGATTCATGCCAGCGGTCACTCCCATAGACGGCACGCAGGTTTGCTGGTGGATCGTCGTGAGTCGGTCAAGAATTCCGCTTGCTGTCGGTCTCACGTCTTTCGACAAAGAGCTCTCACTCTCAGATGAGCTCGCGAGCTCCAGCAAACGCCGCAGCTCGCGATCCAACGCTGTGACGTGAGAGAGAAACACCATGACGTGAGGAATGAACGCTCCCAAACCCAACACGACCTTTTAAAACCTTAAAAAAAAACGAGCACGATGATCAAAAATATATTGTAGATCTCACGCTCTGATTGCCAAGTCCTAGTTCTTCTTCTTGGCCAGACCCGACACAATGTCGTCGATGCGCAGTAGCATACACGCAGCCTCCACCGCTGTCTTGATGGACTGCGTCTTGACCTGGAACGGTTCCCACACGCCCAGCTGCTCGGACGGCGTCACCTTGCCCGTCACGCCGTCCACGCCGTACGACTCGTCCGTCTCGGCCTGTTTCGCACGCAGCGACGTCATGACGCGCACCACGTCAGCACCGCAGTTCTGCAACAACGTCCGCGGGATGACCTCGAGCGCTTCGCCCACTGCTCGGAACGGGAACTGCTCAACACCTTCGATCTCGTCCGCGCGCTTCTTGAGCTCGTGCGCCAGACGCATCTCCGTCGCGCCGCCGCCGGGCAGCAGCAGCGGCTCAAACACCACGTTACGTGCCACTTGCATGGCGTCCTGAAGGTTACGCTCGATCTCGTTAAGTACGTCCTTACTGCCACCACGCAGCAGGATACTACAGGCACCGGGGTCCTTGCATTCCTCAAAGAAGGCAAAGTACTCGTCGCCCAGCTTGCGCACCTCAAAGAGGCCACACTTGGTGCCAATATCCGACTCCTGGATCTCGTCCGCACGGCTTACAATAGTCGCACCGGTGGCACGAGCCACACGGTTGTTGTCCGTCTTCCTGAGACGACGGAAGGCCGTGATGCCGGCCTTAACAAAGTAGTGCTGAGCCAGATCGGACACCCCTTTCTCTGTGATCACCACGTCAGGCTTCATGGCTACAACCTGGGCGCACAAGTTCTCAATGTACTCTTCTTCGAGACGCAGCAGCGTGTTCCAGTCTTGGTCGTTCGTGAGCTCCACGTTCGTCTGACTTTCACCTTTCTTGTACTCCAGAGGGCAGTCCAGCAGCAACACACGCGGGTTCTCGATACGGCGACGCATCTTAGAGTGCGTCACGTCCTTGTTAAACATAACGCCCTTAAGGACGCGGCTGTCTTCAAGTTCTCCGCCCGGGATCTTCTCCACTTTAGCGTAGCGCTTGACGTCCACCTCCTTCTGACCCGACGCCGAGGTACGCACTACCGTAAGTACGGCATCTAGTGCCAAGTCACTCACCAAATTGCCCACACGAGGGGAGAACTTGGTACCGATCGAAGACTGTACGAGGTTACGCATGTCTTCCTTGTTCTCAATGTCAATGGGACGCGCCAGCTTCTTGGCGATCTCCAGCGACGCGTTAAGTGCGCGATTGAAGCCTCGGATGATCACAGTCGGGTGCACTTGATGGCCCAGAAATGGCTCGGCTATGACCAGCAGTTCGCCCGCCAGGATGATGACGGACGTGGTGCCGTCGCCCACTTCCTCGTCCTGTGCGCGACTGAGCTCGATCATGCTCTTAGCTGCTGGGTGGGCCACGTCCACCTCACGGAGAATGGCGTTACCGTCGTTAGTCATGACGATGCCACCCATGGGGTCCAGAAGCATCTTGAGCATCGAACGTGGACCCAACGTGGTGCGCACAATGTCGGATACAGCCTTGGCGGCCTCGATGTTGCTCAACTGCGCGGTTCGGCCCGTCTCGCGCTTGGTGTTGGTGTCTGGAGAAGCGACATCGTTAGAGGAAGGGCATGGTGATGAGATACGGCGGGATACGTACTGAGAACCATCACTGGAGCCTGCATCATGGTGGAAGGTGTCGAGTCTTGGTGACGATCTTGTGGCTGGTTGGGCTGTGAGGGTTAGAAGGGAGTTGAGGTAGAGAAACATAATATTGTGTAAGCGTTAAGTATAACTTTTATTTTTCAGTCAGTTGAGACAGTGATTGGAAAAAAAATATTTTTTTTTCATTTAATGCGACATGTTTTACAAGAAAAATGACCAGATCGAAATACAAATACTCAATTGCACAACGACCAGAAATTGCATTACTCAATTGCAGGGTTAAACGACACTACAATACCAAATTGCAATACTATTTACAATATCCAACTGATACATTTCGTTTCTACCGTGTTGATTCCGCAGGTATTGCAGTGTAAATTGCAAGTCGACTTTCGACTGCAATTCTCACTGCAGGACCAGACGTTACTGCGAACGTAAACAATTTTTTAATCACTGAGTTGAGTTCACAGATATTTTTGGGAATGCTTATGAAAAAACAAACTTAGAAGCGAAGAAAGAATGGATACAGCGCTTTTCAGAAAAGAAAAATCGCCTAGCTCGCAGCGCTAACATTGAAGTAAACCGTGTTCTCGAATTCCGGCGCGCAGTACGGGAACTGAACCTCGTCGTGCGATGGAGCAAACAACTCCTCGCCAGTCGTGTAGGTCACGTAGCAGCCCAACACAAAGCAGATTGCCACCACAATGCTTCCGGAGATTTTTTCCCACATGGCCACTTGATCCCACGATTCCTTTAGATAAAAGATAATAGGCAACAAGATGCAGTTCACTGTGATACAGGACGCACCAACAAAGTCTGCCAAAGCCGTGAAGTCGTCCTTAAGCACGATAGAAATGACAACTAGCAGCACCACGATGGTAATGCGCATCACGACGTACTTGATAGCGTTCACGCCGCGGTACTCGGCGGTTTGCTCCTCCTGGTCCTCGAGATACACGTTGCCTGCATCGGCAACTGACACATTCGACTTCCTGGAGCTGTGGACAGAATCTTTGGTAAGCGGGTCGACCGTCGACGGGTGTGGCCATTTGTAGATAGCTGGCGGCTTCCTCGATGTCTCTTTGCTGTTTCTTGTGCATGCCAAGAAACAGACGCTCCGCAATGTAGAACGCCGGATTAATGATCACAGCGAACGCGATCGTAATGTGGAGCTGCATGAACAAATAGGCCATCACGATGGTGCCCCAATTCGGCGCGAAACCTAGATTGGTGAGACCAGTCTCGGAGTCAGGGTATATTGTGAAAAGCAGATTGCCAGATATCTGGCATCCTACGGCTGAGTATGGCGTGCTTGCCAAAACAAGAAACAAGATGGAGATAATGCCGACGGTGACACCCACAACACGAGGCATGCGCTTGGGATCACTGTGTTCACGCTGGATGTCGGGAATCACAATACCGGCACCGTAGGCGAGCGATAGATTGCCGAAGCAACCGGCAACCTGCGAGAACGATAGGTCAGGCGATGGAATACTTGGGTGTCCACTCAGACCGTTCATTAAAACAGCGACACCAATAACGTCGGCGACGATCGTTCCCAAGCAGCCGGCAAAAGCAGAAGCAGCTCCTTCCTTTAGGGTCGGGACCAAACACACGGGCAGTACCGTGAGTGCCATGAAAATGATCCAGGTAGTTTGGCTGAAAGCCTCCGGGAAGAGGCCGTCAAGGAGTGAGCCCCCGAGAACTAAGAAGACGCAAGGAAGGAGGAGGCACGAACCCATCTGCGAGATGACACAAAGCCAGCGACCGGTTTGCCCCATGGACCACTCACCGAGGTCTCCGAACGTCTTGACGGACTTGGGGGCGAGCAGCATAACCTTGGACATGGTGATGGAGGAGTAGATATTGGCAAATGCCATGAAGGCCATGGCCATCACGGCGAGGTATGGGCCCGCTCGCGAGAAGTTACCAGGCATACCAAGGGTTCCAACGCCGTAGATACAACAGAAGAGGTTGAAGGCCGATTTGGTATCCTCTGCGGTGAAGAAGGGTTCCTTGGCCATAGTTGTTGTCGAGGTGCAAAACTGAAGACTGTTGATCGAGCATAGACTTTTATAAAAAAAAAAGCACTGCACCGTAGCGTGTGCTAACAACTATGTCAACATAATTGTCGATACGTTCAACCATGGTGAAAGCCTTGCTGGCAATTAACAACCGGTTCAACCACAATGGTTGTGTGGCTCTGGATTGTGCAGTGGTGCCAGAGACCAACTGCGTGCTAGCGTTCCAGGATCACTGTCTAACTATTGATAAGGCAAGCTTGAATATGTCTGCGCATGGGGCAGATTGCTACTGTAAACCTAAAGCTTAGTCACTCTGCTTAAGGTAAACGGCGGGGTGTGTCCACTTGTTTCATTTCCAATTTGACTGTTGGCCACCGATACGCGGAAGTAGCTCAAAACATTTTTGTAATTAAGCAGAAGAACTTGTAGCGGTGGATAATAAGTTATGTTTAGTTGCAGGACTTGATATTGATTTAATCCTCGTATTCAAAATCTGGTGTAGCTCATTTTTGTTGGTTAATGAATGTCGCACAAAGGAAATAAACCAACATGTTAGTACACTTTTTTTTTCTTGCTGCAAATCACGCTGATTTGTGCAGCGTAATTCGTGTTTACTGTACTTTGCTACAGGAATGACAATGAGATTGCATTGATTGCGTGACGTGAGCATCCCGCACAATACAAGCTTGCGTGATGATCACGACTTTTCGTTTTACGCTTTTTAAAAGGAAAAACCTACTGCCCAGGTTTTTGGTGCATAGCCGTGCGACTATTGACCAGGTTTAAAGCACAGGTTTCGCCAGGTTTCTTGCCAGGCTGTAATTAATAAAGTAAAATACCATGATTTGAAAATATTCCCCTACACCTACTAATCTCATGATACGGCACCTGATCGCACGTATCTCTGCAGCGCAGCTTCTCAAAATCCATTCATTTCCAAATTTGAGCCGTGCTGGAGGAATGAAGCGCAAAGCCCACTCTGAAGACGAAGCGTCCGTCAACGAAGATCCCCCAGCCTCTTTGTCCAGCGTCTCAGAATCGGAAGGTGAGAGGGAGGTGGCCACGCAGGTTGGCGGCAGTGCTAGCGACGAGGAGTTTCCAGCAGACCAGGAGGGCTCTTTTGAAGGGAAGGAGCTGCGTCGCTACCACACAAACTGGGAGAGCTGGGAGAAATACCGCGAATCGTATTGCGAATCCGAAAGTGCGCATCTTGTGGTGCACGAATCGGAGAGTGTCGCCAAACGCAACAAGATGCTGCGTGCTTCTAAGCGCGCCAAGGACGGTGGTTCGATGCGATACTTACCCGAAGACCTTCCCCGTTTTCGCCGGAGATACATTTGTACGCACGGGTCGCGGACCCGCCGCCGTGGATCTGGAAAGAGACAGCAGTTCAAGCTTCGAGGTACTGGTTGTCCATTTCGCTTTACTGCGGAGAGTGTGTACCACAAAGGAAAGTGGATTCTAGAGATCAAAAATCCCATCTACACTCACAACCACAAACTTTCCCAGGACATTTACGAACATTATCCACACAATCGCCAAGTTCCGATGTTTGAGCCTCTAGTCGAAGACCTTCGGTTGATGGTACGCGCTGGAGGCAAGAGTCTCCGAATTTACGAGTACATCCGTGACAACTCCAGGTACAAAGTGACGCAGAGAGATGTGGCGAATCTTCTTACCCGAATTCGCAATGAGCTCCGTGGACAGGCCGATGATGATTTGGCTGTTGCCGAATTTCTTGTCGGCTTCGGCGAGGAAGACAAGAACAACGTGGTAAGTGTCGATGACACGTCAACGGGGGAGACAGGATCAATCTCACTGAGTACAGGCCACATGCGAGCGACGTTTGCTAAGTATCCGGAGCTGTTGCTGGTGGACTGTACGCACAAAACCAATCGGTAAGTTCATAACAGGTTCTACACCAGGTTTACATTCCTTGTTTCAACCAGGCTTCCAACAGGATACGAATCAGGTTTCGTACCAGGTTTCCTACCAGGTTTTAAGCTACGGCTCAAAACAGGATTAAACTGTTCATTCTTTTTAACACTTGTTTTTATGTTTTATAGATACGACTACCAGCTTTGCAGTCTGATGGTGATGGATGCCTTCGGGTCTGGTCAGTTCGTACAGCACTCCGTTATCGAGACCAACTCGGATTGGCATATGCGGAAGGTCCTCAGCCACTTCAAAACTGCCAATGTCATCTGGGAGTCACTCCGCGTGGTGATGGTTGATAAAGACATGAGAGAGATCAGTGTGATACGGGAGGCATTTCCGGATGCTACTATTCTGCTCTGTCATTTTCACGTCTTGAAGTTTTTGCGAAGTGTGGTTCGTGAGGCTCGCTTCGGACGCTATTCGGCAGACGAGTACGACTCGATGAATCATCTCTTCTCCAATCTGGTAGACGCTCCGTCCAACGAGGAATACGCGAAGAATTATTCTATTTTGGAGAAGTTTTCCTGCGCGCATGGGAACACCTCCTTCTGGGAATACTTCTGTGAGAATTGGGACAAGTCGAAGGACATGTGGACTAGATATCGCCGCCAAAGACTGCCGCATTTTCGCAATAATACGAATAATCGCATCGAGTCCAATTTTGGAAAGCTCAAACTCGATCTTGATTCATCGTCCACAATGAAGGAGTGCTTGGAGTCTCTCATGCGTCATCAGCGTCGCGTAGAAAATGAAAGTTTAGCGAGAGAGTCGTTCAAAGGAAGGTGGACGCATTATGGCTATGATCAGGAGTTAAACTTGGTGCTGCGTATTTGTACATCTTGGGTAGCGTCTACGATGAAATCTGAGTACGAGTTTGCTATTTCGAGTGAAGCCACAGCGCTATACGCCTTCCTTGAAAAGCCAAGCGATACCGTTGAGGTTATCAGCGGAGATCATCGTCACAATTTTATAAAAATGGAGTGGTGCTGTGACTGCGATTTCAACCAGACGCTGAAGTTACCATGCCGTCATGTTATTTGCTATCGTCGAGTATCGGCTTTAGTTCCTGTGATTCCAGTGTCATTTATACATGAGCGCTGGTTATCAACTGGTGCCGCCCGCCCGGTGTCTCTCCCCCCGGTTGACTGCTTCAACTACACGAAGACAACTTGCCCCTTACGGAGTTACGATTCATCGACTGTTTTGGATTCGCGACAGAAGTATGGCGTAACTCGAAACTTGATGAGTCGGATATCTAGCGAAGTTTCCGATTTACCGATGTCTCAGTTCTGTAAGGAAACTGAATTCCTCAACGGATATTTGCGCAAACTACGAACGGGAATCACAGAAGCGCGGTATGAACCTGATCGCTGTCAGTCCGAAGATGCTGTCCTAAATCCTGGAAAACCTATAAAACCTGGGAGGAATCCTGGGAACAAACCTGTCGGGTTTAAAGGACAAAAGCTCAACATCTGCGAGATAGACTCGAACACATTTGTCGAAGCGTGCGAGGATATAATATCACAAAAACGTGATACGGACAATGTTGAAGGAGAGGCCAAGACTCAAGAAACAGGGAATGACTCGGACTTGGAAAGAAGTAGTGTCGAAAAACCTGACGCAATACCTACATCTACACCTGGTGTAAGACCTGGCAGTCAAGCTAGTGAACCTACGACGAACTCTACAGAGGACGGCTGCAAGGATCTATCAACAACGGAATCGTCTACCATCAAGTCGATTAACTTAAGCAAAAAGGTGAGGCGCGCCGGAAGACCGAAGGTTACAGCTGCTCAAAGGGTACAAACCAGGCGGGTTGCACGAAAACAGTTCAACTCAAGATTGGACAAAGGTGGCGAGTTGTCCTTCGAGGACGTCGGAGTTGTGGCAACAGCCATGGAAGGAAAAGATAAGAACTTACGCGAGATTTCAGATTTACTGGAGGTCTATCCAGTGAGGCATGGAGATGCTGAGCGTAAGCACCCCAAAGTTGGGACAGATCGGAAACCGATCCTAAGTGCAGCGTTATCCTTCCTGTTACCGAGAGTACTTGTGCAGAAGTGCTTGGATGTCCTCTACAAGTCGGGCGCTGTCCCCCTACCAAGCCAGAATGATGATGACCCACCGTACGTGAAGCTGACAGGTATCGGAATTTTTTCCCTCTATCAACTCGATTGTATGCAAAAATTGTGGACTCTGAGAAGCGTTTCGGAAAAAGGACAAAACGCTGTAGAATGGCTAACGTCGATTCAAAAGGACAAAACTGAAGCTGATCACGCCGCAAAGTATTTGTTAGAGTCCCATCCATATCAGATTGTGGATGATAGTCTACACTGCGATCTAGACTACTCGACGCTATATCGGCTACAGCCTGGGGACTGGATTAGCGGCCAGATTTCTGAAGCGATTGGAGCATTTTGGACCAAAGCATATAGTGTTCGAGTTATGCTGACACAGGAGTTAAAACTGAACAGGAAGGTGAGAATGGCGGAGCTACCCGCTGATGTTGTGCAAGAGCTGAAGACGTGTGATACGAAACTCGTTTTCCTTCCACTCAATTTTGATCGCATTCACTGGACGTCCATTGTGATCAACACTGCGACCAAGAGCATTTTCATTTACGACCCTTTGGGAGATCCAGACTACATTGCGTACCTGAACAAAATCAAAACGCGCCTTTGCAAAGAGAGCAAGTTTGCTTCGTACAAATCCGTTGTTGTGGCATCTCCTACCCAGAACGACGGGAATAGCTGTGGTATTTACGTACTCAACTTTATGTGGAGGCTTCTTGACGACAAGATCAGCAATGTGCAGAAGGACCCTCAGCTGAATAGCTTTAGAGTTCGGATGTTGTCCGCACTACTAAGTCAATAAATGCACTCATTTCATGTCAGATATTGAAGTAGTGTTTGAGTCCGAGCTTATCCGTATTGCCGCCGGTAAAACCTCAAGTACAAAAACCTGTTTTAGAACCTGTTGTCAAACCTGCTAGATATCCCTTCACATATTTGGGATATCGTGCTGATATCGCTCTAAGTACAACAACCTGGAGTAAAACCTGT